TAATCGGAATACTCGAGTATTGTTGAAAAAAACTGAAATTGAAGGTACTACACAATCGAAGAACTCAAAAAAATTAAACATTTCCGGTATTCTTTTTCCAGATCGTATTTTGTTTTCGAGATATATTTAAATTTGGGAATTTTTTATTATTTTTCCACTTTTTTCAGGTTCTTTTTTAATTTAATTTCAGTATATAAAAGCCTTTACAATATTATCCAAATTTTATTTGGAAGTTAATCTTAACTGTTCAGAAACAATTTGCTATTTAGGAAATGAAAGTTTGTTTTTTTTTCCTTAGTTCTTAATTTGCTATAACATTTCTCATTTGATTTAATAAAAAATATTGTAAATTCATTTTTTTGAATAATTATAACGACTTACATCCGAGTAGCTTAACACAATTAAAGAAAATATAACGAATACGCTCACGACTCGGAACTGAGTCTTTTCTTCTTTTCGCATAAAATATTACAAATTTATTTAAAATACCCTTTATTTAATATATACTTTATTTATTCATCACAATTAAAAAAAAAATACTAGTCAGCACAGCGGTTGATTTCCATGAAAATACGCTAAGCAGTGATAATGATTGCATGTACCTAAGTTAATATTTTTGTCTTTTGGTTGGTGTTATATTGGAAATTTCCCCTCTCAAGGCATTTGCAAGAAAATTGCACTTTCATGTAAAAAACGAGTTATTTATCTCGTACTTTTTTTAAGCAAGGCGCAATATTTAATTACTTAATATTAATATTAATATTAAAAAATAGTATTAAAAGCTTTAATAATATTACCAATATTAAAAACTTTAATATATTATACATTATAATATTAATATGAATGAGTAGAAACGATTACATTTAAATTTGGCAAATTGTAACTCCAGCCGACTATACGAACTTACAAGTACGATTGCGCGAATCAGTGGAATTTGGATGCCAAATTCTCGGTCTGTAGATCCTTGTCTATAATTCTACTTGAAATGACAGAAACTTCTGTGGACCTGGAGCAGCTACAACAACTAACGAGTACTGTAAACCCTAATGAAATCATATCAGATGAGAATACTATTATTTTGGAGTTCAAGGATGATTTAGATATTAGCCATGATGATAAATTGTTAGATTTTAATAGAATAGTTGGTACCAGTCCAAGCGAACCAACTTCTTTACACAATAATAGCTTAAATGCATATTTATTGCCAAAAGACGGTAATAGCAATTGTGTTGAACCATTAGAAAGTACTACAACTGTTAAAGGTGTGCAACGTAAGAGGAAGAAGAGAGAATTTACAGCTGTTGAAACGTAGAAAGCTAAAATTAGAGGAAAGACCAGAAATCTCATACCGTTCAGCCTCCTTGTAATGAATGTAAATTTATCAATCAGTCTTTTTGGAATATTGAAGATTTAGAAGAATGGAGGAGCTTTATATTTAATCAATGCGAAAGACGTGATGTTAAAAAGCGAACTACTAACAGTGGAAAGATTAGTAGAAAAAAAAATAGTAACATACATTTTAACACATTCAAATGGTCAAAGGAAAAGGTTTGCAAAACATTTTTTCTAACCACCTTAGGTTTAAACAAAAAAATGATAAATTTCTTAACACAATATGTTCTACAGATAAGGATGCAGTAACACCCAAAAAGAGCATGGGAGGCAGACAACCGTCAGTGAATAAAGGTTCCTCAACAAGCTATAATCGATCACATTGAGACTTCCATCCTGAAGTACCATTTACACAACCATAATAAGGATAATTTGTTTGAAGACTGTGATGTTTGGAATAATTGGAAAATCCATGATAAACTAGTCAAAGAGAGAAGGACATTATACAAAGAATTTGCAGAAAAAGTTAACGAAACTAACAAAAGCAATGAAGTTATATTTAGTGCAGATTTAGAAAGATAATTATACTACCTCGACTTGAAATGTTTAAGCAATCATCTTTGCATCACGCCTCACAACGTGCAACTAGACATTTGCCCTGTAGGGAAAAAGTCTAAGCTTAAACCACTAGCAGTTCTGTGGCACTGTGCTATATCTGGCAGAAAACAAGAAGATATTGCAAGTACTTTTAATGTATTTTTCAACCATTACCGTGATACTAAAAAGTTTGTGTTGTGGTTAGACAATTGTAGTGCACAGAATAAAAATTGGTGTTTATTAACATTGTTTATTAAAATAGTAAACTCAACTGCAGTTGAAGCTACTGAAATTCAAGTTTACTACTTCGAGCATGGGCACACCTTTATAAGTGCCGATAGTTTCATCACCAGGTGGAACTGTCACTAAAAGCACAAAAAAAAACGTACGATTTCGATGATTTTGTTGATGCTATAGGGGCTGCCAATAAAGGGCATGTTGATGTATTTAAAATCAGCGTTGATAACTTTTTTGTGTGGAAAAATTGGAAGTCTGAAGCGAAAATGAAAGCCAAGCCAGACAGACCTAATCTCAAAGATATTGTTCACATGAAGTTTGAAAGGGTAATTATACACCTTACAGTATAAAAGTACGTATGACAAATCAGAAGACTTCAAGGAGCTTGATTTCTTGCAATCGAGGATTTTGAAGACACCAGAACCTACCAAACTAGTCTCACCTAAAAAATTTCCAAGGGAAGGAAAGACCAATTACTTCAAGTGCTACAAATATTATTCCAGAAAATGGAAAAAGTATTCTGGGAGAGACCACCTACATGTTAAAGACAATTTTTGAGAATTTTATATATTTTTTAGACCTGTAGCCTTAACTAGCTAATAAAATCTTGTTAAAAGAAGTGTAGTTACTGCTTTTATTAATTTTACATTGCTAAGGAAAAGAGGAGTAACTTATACATACTGCCTTTTTGCTTGGCATTTATTAGCTCAAAAAATATAGTAAGTGATATTTCTTATTAAAAACTGATTTATTATAGTGATTTTATTCTTATAAAGCAAAGCTAGTATCACATATGACAATAGAACAAAAGTGTATGTAAGGAAAATAATCCATTTTTAAATATAATAATCAAATTTGAAACTTTACTTCCATTTATATTAAAACAGATGTTTTGTAGATACTGCCCTTCTTCTTAGCAGGGCAGTATTGATATAAATTAAAATTTAAAAATGAAGAGTGCAGCTTTTCGTATGCAACTTTTGCATTTTGCCGCAAATAACGTCAGTTTTTTCTACAAAGCTGTTAAATATTAAATATTGAAATGTTGCGCGATTTTTGTCATTTTTTACGATTCTCATGAGATCAATAACATGTATCACTTCCATTGAGTAGTCATTGTAAAGTTTTAAATTGCTAGAGTCTAATCTTCAAAACCTATAGCATAAAATTTCGATTTTGAGTTTTGGCAACAGATATGAGGAATTTGATATATGCCTAAAAAACGTTGGATTTTAAACCTTCACATTTTAAATGATCTAAAACGGTTAAAACTGGCTCTTTTCGATTGCATAAATACGGACTTATGCAATCTGCTCGTTTTTTTTTTTTCGTTTCGTTGTGGAGGCGCGACGGCTCGTCCGATCGTGACGTGTGAGGTATCGTCGGAAAGGGGAGGGAGTAACGAATACGGTAACACAAAAGCAAAGACAAAACATTGCCAAAACGGTACCATACCGTATCTCCGTTTCTATTGGTCCGATCTTTGCGAATGAGGGCTCGTTGGAAAGAGATATCGAATATGTTATCATAAAAAACCAAAGACATTCCCAAAACGGCACTATATCGAATCTTCGTTGCTATTGATCGTATTTTAGCATAATATACGTTGAAAAAAAGGAGAGTAGTCACTGAAGCTAACAGAGAAACAAACAAACATGACAACATTGTCAAAACGGCGTTTTATCATATATTGGACCTATTTTGACGTTTGATTGAATTTCGTCTGTTACAGTTCATCATCTCGTCATACAAATCGCCACCTGTCGACTACATCCGTTAACTATGCCCAAACCATCTAGTATCTGTTTGTTGGTTTGGTCATACTGTAAGAATGGTATACGATCTTTGATTAATCATGTTCTATTTCTAGTAATACTACAGCATTACCTCACCTTTCGTGCATTGTTTCGAGAGAGAGAGAGAGAGAGAGAGAGAGAAGGAGAAAGAGAGAAACAGAGAGAGAGAGAGATAGAGAAGAATCGATAAGCTGAAGAAGTGTCGTATTACAATGACAGATGCTAGATGGCTTGGGCATAGTTAAAGGGTGTAGTCGACAGGTGGCGATTTGTGATGATGATATGATGAACTGTAATAGACGAAATCTAATTCCCTTCAAAATAGGTCCAATGGTAAAGAGCCGTTTTGACAATGTTTTCATGTTTATTTGTCTCTCAGCTAGCCTCAGTGACTACTCTCCTTTCATTCAACGTCTATTATGCTAAAATCCGATCAATAGCAACAAATATCCGATATAGTGCCGTTTTGACAATGTCTTTACTGAATGGAACTGAAAACAGAATTGACTCAGCTCTAAAAATAAAAGAGAAAATATATTGTAAAAACAATACATAGACAATACAAAGATAAGGAAATGAAACAAGAAATTGTAATTACTCACCGCCGAATCGGAGGACGTCTACATTTTACAAGAAGGCAGCAGGAAATGAATAGTTCTTTTAGATATATTTGAGGGCTAGACTATAGTTGGGATGTCGAGATACGTTGAAGTTTGTTAAGCGAAAAATTCTTAAGCCGCAATGGTCTTATTTTGAAATTAGGCTACTTTCTCTCGGCTAGGAGAATTACTGTGAAAAAAGCATAGCGTTTCTCTGTTTCTTCAAAAATATCCTGCGTGCTCAACAAAAGATGACATATTCTTTGTACGACGAAAGAAGTATAGTGTAGGTAAACGAAAGATAATGAAATAGGAAACGCAAATCACAAGCAGTATATTACTAATATTTTTAATTTATAAATAAACTTTTGGAAATTTAAAAAAATTAAATGGACGAAATATTCTATTGTTAAACTTATATATTTTTTGTTTGTTTCAGGAGTACCATGCAAACAGCAATATCGTTACTATTGTTTTATTTTGTTCAAGTAATATCGGAAAGGGAGCATAAAGTAAGTTTTTTTTTTCAAGTCGGTATCTTTTGTCTTGTATACTAGTTGTTTTCCGGCCATAACTCCAGAGAAAGGATGTATTTGCATGCTTCGTGGACTTCGAAAAGGCATTCGATAAAAGTCACCTTGTAAAATTAATACAGATGCTACAAAATATAATAATAGATGACAAATATACCTGTGACAATAAAAATCTGTGCTAGAATTTAACTGCTATCGCAGAAAATTGGAGATAACTTACTACCCCGAGGAATCAGACAAGGTGGCATTTGTCTTCAACATTATTCAATGTTTACTCGGACCAGTTATTTAAAAAGACATTTGGACAGCCATATGGAATAAACATAAACCGGGAACTACTTAATGTAATTGGATAAGCGGACGATACACTAATTCTGTCAGAAAATATAGAAAGCCACCAAATTCTGCTTGATCGTATTTAAGTAGGAGAGGAAATAATCATTAAAATAAACTCAAACAAAACCAAATTGTTAATTTTTAGTTGTAATCCACATCCAGATGGAGAACTTCGATTAAAAGTTAGACCAAGTTAAAAAAGTTCACAAAATTACATATTTGGGAACTGTCTAACGGACCCACTAGATCCATACATAGAAATACTTTTATGGAAATGAAGACATTTCTTTGCAATAACCGTCTCAGTTTAGAACTAAGACAATTAATTTTAAATGTTATATTTGGTGTATACTTTTGTATGGTGCAGAAGTATCGACTCTAAGAGTATCAAGCTTGAACAGAATTGAATCATTGGAAATGTGAATTCATAGACAGATACAGAAGATACCTTGGACAGCAGAAAAACTAATGAGCAAATAATAAGGAGGGTCAATAAAGATAGAAAATCTTAAAGGTAAAATAGAAGGCCATAGAGATATGGGAACAAGACAGATCTCTTGGTTAAAAAGCATTCGTGGATGGATTCAAATATCAAATGCAGGACAATTATTCCATGTAGCAGAAGTCTTCACAATGGTAATCGCCAACGCGGATAATTCTGATATGGTACGCGAAGAAGAAGTTGGTTATTTCTCTGATTCCTTCGAATGCATGTTTAAGGTAGATAAGTAAGGTCCTTAGTCTCTTTATTTCTTTACTAATTTCCTAGTTATTTCTTTAGTAACTAAACAACGCAAAAGAGCGGGGGTGCTAAAAACCACAGACTGTAGTATGAAGACTATGTTATTGAAAGAAAAAATTATATAACTTCAACAAGAATTTCAGTGTATAGAATAGTATGTCATTGGTATTAGTGAGATAAAAAAGAAAATGTGAAGAAAAACTAACATTAAGATCAGGTCATTTATTTTAACGTGTAGCAACTGAAGATACAATATAATAATAGAAGAGTATAGATACAATAATAGAAGATTTACTAAAACCATTGTCGAGATAAACGAATAACAGTGTAGCTAGTGTTACTGTAAACTAAACAAGAGCTGTAACCTTCAAATAATTTGAGCTTCCACCCCAAAATGATTACATAGCGATTAAAGAAGTTAAGATGTTCTACTAGGATTTTAGTACAGTTGTGATATTTATTTTCTGATTGAGAGCCATAGCATCGACCAAGTAATAGCTTACAAATATCTAGGGCATGAGATTCGCTTAGGCCGAGATAATCAGACAACTGAAATACAAAGAAGGATAGGTCTCACATGGGCTGCCTTTGGTAAATTGAATAACATTTTCAAGTCTAGTATCCCAGTTTGTTTAAAAGAAAGGTTTTTAACCAGTGTGTTTTACCGGTTCTTACATATGGTGCAGAAACACTGACTCTGACAAAAAGAATAATAGATAAATAGAGTTACACCAACGCGCTATGGGAAGATTAATATTAGGTATTACCATCAGAGATAAAGTACCAAACCTAGAAATAAGAAGAACAGGAGTCACAGATGCAGTTAAAAAATAGCCATGGCTAATGGGCTTGGGCCGGACATGTTGCCAGATTAACGGATAACAGATGGACCAAAAAGAAAAGATTCTGGAATGGCGACCAAGGCAGGATGCATATCGAAGCAGAGGACGACCACCGATTAGATGGACGGATGATATCAAGCGCATCACCACAACTGGATGCAAAATGCTCAAGACAGAAATAGGTGGAAAATTTTACGTGAGGCCTACGTTCAGCAGTGGACAAACATAGGCTAATTGATGATGATGATGATGATATTTATTTTACTTGATTTCGTTCACGATTTATGATAGTTTCTAGAATAGTGTTCTAACTTTCCCATTTTCGATTTTTGGTATAAATACATATATGTATCAGGTAGTTTTGTTTACTTTGTGTATAATAGGTTTGAGTTGACTGCTTACTTGATTGCACTATATATATTTGTTACTTGTTTTTGGCTAATACCGCTTAGTTGATAAATAGTTTTACTCTACAATAAGCAAATGTAGCCAATAAACTTGCTAAAATTAATATTTTTTTCTATTATTTTATGTATTTTTTAGGTACACAATATAGTTCTTTACCCAGAAAAACACTCCTGGTGTCAAATAACACCAATTCAACAAATAATTGCCTCCCCCGGCTACGAGTCAGTCACCATAGACAACAACGTTTGTGTGGGAGCCTGCTATAGCTATTCCATACCAAAAACCCAACCTGCTGAACCCGGAGAGTTAATCGGTCCATATTGTGACAGCTGTCAACCTTCGGAGATAAAATGCTACCACGTCAATCTTAAACAAATAGAGAAGAATGTGGAGGGGCCAAAAATTTTACAAAAAAGAGTACAAATCATTACTAATTGTTCGTGTCAAAGCTGCGATAAGGTTAGAAGTGAAGATTGTAAGATTACTGATGGAAACACTTTGGAATTACCACATAATCTATTTACAATCGATAAAAATGCTAATAAGTCAGTAAGTGAGGAAATACCGGATCTTCTGGAAAGAAACAACAGCTATCATATTCTTCCTACTCTAGATAACGATCTGAAAAAACTAAAGTACAAGAAATGGTTCGAGAGTCATCAAAATGAAATAGAAAGAACGTACAGTTCTGATGCCTATCGGTTATTTTTAAAACAAAATAGAGATAATAACATTAAAGTAGAGGAAGATCTTGATGATCCTGATTTACCGATTAACTTTGGATTGGAAGGGGTGCCGAGTGGGTTAAGGGATAGTCAAATAGAAATACAACAAAAACCGGGTCCAGTCTTAGAAGGTAAGTGTGTATTTAGTGAATATATATTTAAAATCGTCATAAACTTAGTAAACAAATTTAATAGGAAGCAGATATTTTTATTCTTGTTCTCTAGGTGATTAATTATTCGTTGTCTTTTTTTCAGTGGGTGTTTCTTTGCTATGGAAATACGTCTTTATTTTTTTTGCTAGTTCTTCGTTTAGCCATATTCTTCCCCTTCAGTGCATGTATTTTGGTAGTTGTTTAAATTTTTAGTTGATATTTGACATATTTAAAACCTCTTATGGTTAATTAATACATTCGTATAACGAGAAATAGCAAGAATGGGTAAAAAAGTCAAATAACATAGTAATTACGGGTCTACCAATAAACGCAACAGATGAAACACTCTTAAAAAATAACGTAAAAGATTTTATGCACCTAAAAGAGGATGTCGAAACAGAATCTGCAATGAAGCTAAAAAACAATATATGTCTGATACAAATAAAGGATTATGGCAAAAAAATTAATGTAATGAAAGAAAAAAGCAAACGCAGATTTCTTACTGGAGAAAAGATCTTCATCAACGATGACCTGGCTCGAAAAAGAAAGACACATGAGGCAGGAAATTATAAATAAAGGCCAGGAATTAAGAGCTGAAAGTAAAAAATGTGAAGATAGGGTACGAAAATTCTAGAAATATGGACCCAAAAAACGGCATATAGTAGTGGAAAAAGAAAAAAATGGTCCATTATGCCAACGGACCTTCGTGATTAACAGGAAACTGAGTTTGAATAGCAAAATAAGAATATCAGAAAAGAAAACATGATATCGCTTATAAATATACATGCTACAACAGAAGAAGAAGAAAGAGAAGTGAAAGATGAATTTTATGAAAAATTAGATCATTGTTTGAAGAAATGCCCAGACAAGATATTAATATTATTATCGGCGACGCCAATGCAAAGGTCGAAAGAGAAGATATAATATATAAAAACATAACAAAAGGGAAAAATAAAGTGCAACGTAAATTTAATTTTGAAAAACCGCGGAAATTTGAGGTAGCGCAGGATTATCAAAAGGATATACAAGAAACCTACACCAGAGTTGAAGAAAAGATCAGATTTGAGATTAAAAAGTTTACGATCGTAAAAATACATTCGACTAGAATGGGTAAAAAAGTCAATAAGAAGATAAAAAGAACAACAACAGAGAGAAGAAATTAAAAATTTATCAAAAACCGCAAAATAATAAGGCCGCTGGAGTACACGAATTAAACGAATTACAAATAAAAGACCAGGCCTCGTGATAAGAAGGCCAAACTATGAAATATTGAGACAAAACACGAGAAGATTCAATGAATAGGATATGTAGGCCGAAAACAGAATCCTTGGTTGAAGAATCTGCTTGATTGGTATCAATGCAAATTGATTTGATTTATTTGGATGTTAACGGAATATACTATTTCAGCAAATCGCCAGGAAATTTTGACATTCCTGTCAAAATTTCTTGAAGAAAAAGTCAGGACTTCCTTACTGTAAGGAAATGTCATTTCCTTACTGTAAGGAAATGATATTTCCGTACAGTTGTTAGTGTTCTACATAAATGATAGAAGTTTGACAATTCAACCTCAATACGTTTCCATAGTAACCCAAGTAATTTTATTAGGAATTTCAAAGCACCATTTATTTGGGAATAAAATTATCGCGTTTTTTTTTTAAATCAATCAATATCTGTCGAATTTTAAACGATTTGCGGAAAAAATAGTATGTTTACCTGTAGGAAAAGCCACATTCCTGGACTCTGTGTTGCTAAGTCTCGGCTTGCGCCTCGACTTAGCAATCTTCACAGTCGTCCAGGAATGTTAAGCTTTTCCTACCCGGTAAACAATGTACTATTATTATAACTAATATTTGATAATACAGTAAAAGCTCGTTAACCGAAATAATTGGGGGGGTTGGAGGCCGTTTCGTGATAACAAGAATTTCGGTTAAAAATAACATTGTTTTTTATAGTATTCTTGGTCAAGTATTGGTATTAAAAAATACTATGAGCTGATTTCGTTAGTGTTTTCTAATAAATAAATACAGAATAAAGTAATAATATTAAGGAAAATGAACAAAGATGTTTTGCAGCTATATATCTCCATCGTTCATCAGAACGTCATGAGTTTGCCTCATTCGATTGCTAAGGTACAAATAAGATTCTACATGGTCAATTAGTATGTTACTTATCCGTAATTGTCGAGCAGGTTGTTGAATTTTTGCTTATCAGCATCCACTTTGTCTTCTTGAAGTTGAGGCTCAGGCCATATTCCTCACTAACTGATAAAAGTCTTTCCATTACTTGTTGTAATTCGTCTATGGTATGGCAACGATCACCATGTCGTCGGCATATCTTATATGATCGTTAACTCGCCGTTTATTTTTATGCCCTCATTTGCATTTCCATACATTTGTTAAATATTCCTCGGAATACATATTGATAGGAGTTAATTACTTCTGTCGTTTCTTTACCAGTTTTCTTCTTCAGGATCGTCAATCAAAAGTCCATCAAAAGTTAGTTCCAGCATTTTTTTAAAGTTGAAGATTTGATCTTGGCGTAGAACTCAGCACCACCGATAAAGAGCATGTTTCTTTGTTGAAGATTGAGAATTTTGGATTCATTCCTCTCCTGTAATAACGATGTCTTAAGAATGCTTCTCTAGGATCTCTCTTGAATGTCTCTATTACTCCCTGGTCCAACAGCTGAATTAAGCTCGTGACATTCGGTGGCAAAAATCTGATAATTATCACCATTGTGTAGATTTTTGAGGTGACTTAGTGCATTGTCAACAAGCAACAATGCTTTGATGTGGAGGTTTTTTTTTATTTTAAAGAGTATTTTTACACTTATGACGAATTTATTTTCGAACCTTCTGAAAATAAAGTGGTCGACATCCATGAGCTTTTTTGGCTTCTATAAAAAACTGGAAGTTCTTTTTCTCAAATATCTTTTAGAGCTCTTGGTTGTTTGATTTCCCAACACACATAGGCATCATCGATGAGGTGAAATTATGGAATTGTTTACGTTTTGCGATTAAAAATTTACTTTTTATTGACGAAATTTTGAAAACTGTCAGCCGTTTCGGTTAAACAATGTTTCGGTTAAAAAGGTTTCGGTTAAAGGGAGGATTTACTGTAATACATTCACCGAGAGTAACTGCGCGAGTAGGCATCAAATGATAAATGTTTACACTTCTCTTCTTCTGATAGTTCCTATCCGTTACAGATGTTGGCAACCATCATGACAATCGGTATTTTGCAAACTGCAGACTCTGAAAGATTTGTGGTTGTTGTATTGAACTCACGTACGTAGATTTTTCCTTCCCTTTTGGTCCACATTTTCCTTTTACTTTTCCTTGAAAAATTAATTGTAGCAACCCATATCGTTCGATGTTTCTCATGAAGTGGACCGAGGTATTCGATTTTGGCTGTTTTTATTATGGTTAACATATAATGTGTGTGAGTGATATATCCACGGTAATGACATCGCTATTCGTTTTAGACGATGACGACGATATCAGCTCCGAGGAAACAGAAACACATTCTAATGATATAGTAGTCCTTCCAAACGTGGAGAAGCACCACGAAATAAAACAAGAAGAATTAAGTGGCTTAAAAACTCACCCTACGGGACATCACAAAGGAACATCACCATATTGGTGAAGAACAACTTATTGGTAAGTATATCATTGCTCAGTAAAATCACTTCCAGATGTCGAAATTTGTCTCATTATTTCTCATTTTTCTTGAAATATTACTAAATATGACTCCTAAATTTGATCATTTAAACCTATATTATTCACACTGTTATTTTAGTCCTGACTGATTGATCGTTTACCAGTTATAAACAATCTAAAATTGAAAAAAGTTCCCCAAGGACTTAAATTTTAGTTCAAACCTTGTTCTAACAATTTCCGATAAGTATTTTGGGCTTTATTGGCGACGTGCAAGTACTTGGATGTGATACGAGAAACGATCGTGCGCGAGTAGCGGAGAAATCTTGCACTTTTTACTGCAAATTTCTATAGATTTCATAAATTCATATTGTCATCTGTCATATTTCATATTCGTTTGTTTTATTACACCTTCTGTCACTGAAGAAAATGGGATTTAGGAAATGCTGTGTTATAAATTGTAAAAATACAACAAAAAATTGTCAATTTAAGTTTATTCGTTTCCAACTCGAAGCACAAATTACTACAAGGAGAAATGTGGATTTATATCATAAAAAGCATAAGTAAACATAACCTAAATTATGCATTATTCTGCGCCCGATTTTAAAGTCAGTTTGAAATAAATAATAAATAAAAGTTCACTTTAAAGTGTAAATTTTAGTTTCATAACACTCACTTAGAGTTCATTTTAACCCAAAAATCAAGTTTAATGTTTAAATTTTATTTTTTTGAAGTTTACAAAAATGCATCAAGTTCAAGTTTTTCTGAAGATGCATTAAGATATATTCGCTGTCCAAAGTTTACAGGGAAAGAATTAATTGTTCAAACCAATATGATGATATCATGGCTTAACCTGCTAATTTATGCCTTTATGCATTAGCATTATTTATGGTAATTTATTTTTCTTAATTCTTCCACATAATTCTTCCATTCTTTTTTGACATTTGCCACTACTAAAGCTTTTCCATTTGACTCAGTGCTTGGTTAAAAGTTATTTGTGTTTTCTCAATCCAGTTTTTATTATTGCATCCATATTAACAGTATAATGCTGTAATTTAATAATATATTTATTTGTATTTACACTACATACAACGTTTACCTTTTAATAACATACTGACATAACCTCAATCTTACTTTTTTCTTTTATTCTTTTTTGGGGCTACGTCCTTGACAGTTATCCAGTAACCTCGATCTAACATGAAAGCGCAGTAAATTTTGCTTATTTACGACACAGGTGTCACTGTTCCGAACTTGCACGGTCCCAATTTCGTTTTAAAATATTGTTTTTTAATCGGTAATGAAGAACTTATGACAGGACGACGCTCGGGCTGCGGCTGATCCAAGAATTACCTTTGAAAGGTGATAGAAGAAGACTGAAGGCCGAATTTTATAAGGCACTTGAAGATTTAAAAAATAACATTTTTTACTTGTGTTTTTAAGCCTTAAATTATGATTTATGCTTTTTTCAGTTTTAAATTATTTATGACTTTTTTGTTTATAATGCATATTTTGTTTAATATAGATTTTTATCACCAAATTTATCAAAAGCAATTCAATCAATCTATCAATCAATAATGCCTTTTTATTTCTCATTAAAAAAATACAATAAATATTTGCCATCAGAAGGGTTGGCAAACAAATATTATTCTCTAATATACAAAATTACAATACAGTATTCTATCTAACAAGGTCATACAAATTAATACAAAATAAATTAAATAAATATTCATATAAATGTTTAGTATAACTAGTGTATACCTACTGGTAAGACTTTCATAGACTCCATTTCTGTCAGGTCGATCATTCAAATATAGAACTTCACATCTTAATTTGAACAGCCTTAGAATGTCCCCAAAATTTTCCATTTCCAGTAGATAATGCTTACTCCTTCCCGCAGTTCTTTATAGTGTCCACAAAAATTTGATTTGAGTGTCCTATTCCCAGCCTGACGCTGTATCTTCTCCTTCTTTTTTCGATCATATTTCTCAATCATACTAGGCTTTCGATATCTCTCCATTTCTTATATTTCTCCCTATAGTTGAATAGACGGTTCTATATCCTGCATGGACATATCTTTATCACTTGTAACTCAATTTTTGTACTCACGAGGTAATAGTCTGTGTTAAAATCCATGCCGCAATGAGTTTGGTTATTGCATTTAAGATAGCTTATACCTCGATAACATTTCTGCCCTTTCCTGTTTTCTTTCGTATAAAGAGGACAAAATTATTGCAACATAGAAATCCTAAGGCTAGTCTGGTTTTTGACGACAAAAGATTATTAGCAGGCCAATACTAGCAACTTTTCCAGTTTTCGGGAGAAAAGAAAGACTTTATGAATTCGCAGGCACTTATTTATCAACTCATGGTGCTTTATTTTGGTTTTTAAGAATCCAATGCTATTTGAAGTTTTTCCTTACTAAACCGGCCGCTCTACATGGTCATTGAGGATAAACAGTTGTGCATACATACACAGGATCTGATGTCTTTCTTCGTATTCAACTGTCTTCCAAAATGTCTGACACGAAATTGTTTGCTCAAAGCGATCGTTAGCTACTGTATCAACGAGTGTCATGGCAAAATCGTTAGTTCTCTCGTCTACACCTCTCTCACCAGTTTTACTATCACTGTCTTTGTCAAGACTTTGTCTTTATTATAATTTGTTTACCGAATTTTAAAAACAGTCAAAAGAATAAAATACATAAATATCTGTAAATTATAAAAAATCGACAAACGTATTTCAATTTTATTTTATTCTTTTAATAATTTATTACAAAACCGAAGACGAGTTTAAACAAAGAAACGCTTGGCGATTATAATATATAAGTATTTATTAATTCATTATAACCTGTTCCTATAATTATTCAACATTATTAAGTATCATATTTTTACAGACAACATTTTAATTTCGCATAATGTCTTAGAATATGTCTGCTGCAGGTAGAGTTAATAAAATTCAACATTTCATTCAAGTTTTAACACACACACACATTTTTATTACTGACTGAAATTACCAGTTATTTTGACGTAGTTTAACGGCAAACGATCGATTTTTCAATAGCATTTAATTTAGTTGTAGACTTTTCTGAAATAAAATAGGTCAATACAAATAAAAAATGAAATTAAATGCTCATAATTAAACAAATATAAACTCTACCTCCAACAAAAGATAAACTGCGAGGCATAAGTAAGGAATATAGCTAATATTAAATAACAATTATACAATTATACAATGTTTAAATCAATTAAGTCACTTATCTACATCATCAATTAACACTATTTTTTTGATTTTTTATTCAGAGAAATAAATAATTAAATTTATAAGTTGCTGTAGTTTATTACCCCATGAAAAAAAGCCGAAAATCACTTGAAAAATCGAAAAATTACTGGGCGCTATTTTTTATTTGGAATTTCAGAGGGAAGTCAATAAAAGGCCGTATTATCTCGTGTTTATCGAAACTTTTACTGCATTCATGACATTTAAGCAAAAAAGGAACTTTTTTGCTTATGCCTTTGTGTATGACACAAAAAACATGATGACGCTTATTGTTTTTGAGGTGATCCGATCGGATCATGCACCTTGTTAAAAATTTCTTGCTAAATGCTCAGTGACGCCGACTTGGAGTACATATATTTTAGCATCTTTCAAGATGCAGGTACCTAAGTGCTAAGTATGGGATTTTATAGCCTACCATGTCCGCTGTTTTGATCAGACATAAAAAGCAAACAACATGAACAAAATAATTTTTACTTATAAAAACAAATACTTAATATATTTCCACGATTCTTAGAACACAATTGTGCTATGTCCTCGGAGTACTATTTTTTGAAAATGCAAAATAAAGTTTTGCGGATTGCATTACTCAAGTGCTACATATAATTTTGTTTTATTAATTATTTTACTAACTCAATGCAATCTTACGAAAATAATTACAATAATAATTTGAGTTATTTCTAAAAGATTTTCCAATAAATTAAAGATTTACTAAAATTTGTATGGACATATCACCTTTGTACTACATAGACTTTTACAACTCTGGACATGGAACAATTGTCACTAACTTTTTTAGTATTCTATAAAAATCTTCATCCCAAATAAACCCTGATTAGGGTCTTTTACTTTGAATTCATCAAATATCACGCATTTATTTATATTATAATTATTTCCAGGTAGGGTTAAATAACAGTAAGATAATAATTAAAATAGTGACACCTAGTGGGAATAAAATACAAGGTAAAACATAAGTCAAAACTTGCGTTATATATATTTTTTTAATTAGGTAGAAGTCTTATAACTTATAAATACATTCATTAAACACTAATAAACCAAATTAATCGTAGTCCGAATCCTCGTCTTCCTTGCGGTTCCATACTGCCTCATCTTTCTTTCCTCTAGCCGAGGGCAAGTTGTTATAAAAAAGTGAGTATTCTCAGGTATTACGCCATGTTTCAGAAGGCTTAACAAGTCCCTTTTTTGCAATTGAAATGTCCTAAGCGTTTGTGATATTTCCGTTTTAAAGAATATTTTCCCATTGGATTTCTTCACGGTTAATTTTTATATAATTAAATTCCCCACGCACGTTCATCGTATTTGAAGTCAACTTTGTCAACATTTTTTTCAAATCTAAACCATTTAACCTTTAGCCAGTTTAATATTTTTCCATCAATTGCTTTTTTTCTATTTTGCACTAACTTGTTTGACAAATCCTCTATGTCATAAATGTCGTCGTACGTAGCTGCTGGACATTGTATGGAAATGGACGTTTCCTGCTAAGTTCGATTAATAATTTATATTCATTGGTGGTGTAAATATTTTTTGAATGTCGAGATCGTTCAATAGTGGCGTGAATGCTGTCGGCCTCAAGGTAGCTATGGCCACTTTCCATAAATTTAATATCAATCAATTCTAAATTAGAGGTATTTACGGCGTAAAACATACTTGCAAGTACATTGCGATTTCGATTTTGCCCTCCGCAAGTATCTGCGTAGAGCACGAGATGTTGT